CCTCCTAGGGATATACGGTTAACTTTCTGCCGCGGTTAAAGTTAACCAGATTGGAGCGAACGGGCCATGTCTCAGCTGTAGATGGGAAACTTAGTCAGTGCAGTACAACCGCTAGCCTGGGGTTTTTAACGTGCATCACACAGTAGGGATACATGATCACAGACCAGGACGATGCTCATCGAGATCGAAGCAGGCAAGGTGGGGATTGAAACCATGTTCCCCGGGTTCAATCACAGCCGATTTTAAAGAACTCCCTTGAAGCAAAACATCTTTTGAAACAAGCGATTTCCAACAAGTCCCTTGAAACATGTGCACCACTATTTTCTGTTTTATTCCTCTACCCGCGGCGAGCATTCACTCCCTGTTTGTTGTATTTTTACATAATTTTTAAACTTTTTTAATGTTTTATACTTAACGTGTTTTACCCTATGACTCTAACCAGTTTAAGATTATTAAGACGTGTAGAGCCATGACTTGCTTGAGCGCGTCCTTAACGAAGTCCTGTTTGCACAAAGTAGCCGATAGCTTCGGTTTACGGGTGAAGAAACTGGAGGAGGGGGGCTTCCTCTTTGAGATCATTAGGGGGTGGTATAGGGCTTGTTAAGGAAGCTTCCTGGAGGAGGAAAGAGGGTGAAGAGGGTCAAGCCAGCTAAGAGACCAGTGATGATTCCGTATATACATAATGTTAGCCGTAACATATAAAAGGTGGGGGAAAAGCATGGCATTTCAGTTCTGCTCTCAGCTCCACGAAAATTAAGCAAGTTATGTGGAAGGGTGGAACGAGAAGATGCACGGGTAAATATGCGTCAAAAAAGCACGCGACAAAGTACGTGGGCTGCGAATTGGGGTTGTGTATAGAATCCCTGTGTCTTGTGGGAAGATGTACTTGGGGCAGTCGGGGAAAGGCGTGAACGAAAGGCTGAGGGAACATGCCCTGTCGTTGAGGTCACCACCCTCTGGTAATCTAGCAGTGCATTGTAATAGGTGTAAATGTATACCTTATTTTGACAACACTGGTATTTTGGCTCGAAACAAGAATAAGAAGACAAGGAGGATAGCGGAAGCGTTTTTTAATTTCAGATTGTGTCGATGGTACTTGTGTTAGCGCACCATTGGTAACCCTGTATGAATTAGAGCTATCGTATTTACGATCATGCACTGTGTGAAAGCAGAAAATTTGATGAGTGTTGATTGGAAGTGAAAGGAATGTGTGACTTTGTCGATTTCGGGGTGGGTATGTTTTCTCTACATTAATGCAGCTGTAAGAAGCGCTCTTTGGTGTGTGCCTCTTCTACTCGTCCGTAGTTTTTTTTTTGCGCTTTAAACCCTACATATTCTTGAGCGCATCATGTTCTAGAACAAACTACGGGCTTTAAATGGTCTGCTATACACTACCAACAGTGCTTGAATTTTTAAAACACCAACATTTTTGCCTTGGTGCATTTAATAAGAAAAGAGTGCGCCATATATTTACCTCAAACGTTTAATTTTTTTTCCTGCGTAGCACCGATTCGTTTCTTCTGCCTTTTCATTTAGTATTATTTTTTTGATTGTCGGCCGATCTCAAAGTAGGGGAAGGGCTTTGTCAAGCTGCACTTCTGCAGTGACTACCCTTTTGGAAGAACTACAAGGTGTGAGTTTGTATTATCGACAACTACCCAAATGGCTCCATTTATGATAAAAGTCACGGCGTAGGGACGAATCATTCCTTTCTGCAAAATGTGTAAATTGGTGACTTAAAAAAAAATCTCTAGCGACTTTTGTGGACGGAAATGCTTCGACGAGAATGTTGCATTTGGGAGCAGTTCGACATCAAAAGTTAGACAAGACAAAGCTGTGTGATTATAGTTTTTATTCTCACAGAATTAGCTGGACAGTTGTAGTTCAGAAATACCGCAACCTATTAATGCTTCACTAGGCTGAACAAAATTGCAACAGAGTATTACCTAAGTTATGCACTTCGATACAACGACAAACTGAACTTGATAGAGGGGTCTGCGATAAAAATGTGAGCAGTACCCCCCGAAGAAAGGACATTGAATGTGTCCGCTTTATGAAGGCGCTGTGCTGATTTGCGCACTTTACGGAGTAGCTTTCGCACGTCTTCTTGCATAACGTAAACAACTGCACCTGTGTCAATGAGTGCGGAAAATATGAGCCCCTCGACGAAAACGTTGATGCAGTTACGTGCAATGAGAGGATTGTTTGGATGATCGACTACGGCAGTTTCACTTCCGTCCGGAAACTGCGCAATTTGGTTTTCCCTTGGTGACCTCACTGGAAGAATGGATACAGGAAGCATGGGTGAAGATGAACAACGATACGGCGAAGGAAGGCTGTCGGTAGTAGCGGGGCTCCGCAGCTATATTATAACCTTGATGCTGGTTCGTGCGACGATTTGGGCTACTGGAGGAACTTTGTGGGGGCTTGTCGAAGTTGTATTTTGATGCTCGTGACCACTGTTGTTCCTCGTCGTCGCGATGTCGTCTGCAGTAACGTCAGTAGTGCGTAGCTTTAGCCTTCCTGAGCGAAGCGTACCAGACACGTGACATCACCGCGTGACGTCACTTTTTTATGGTATCTCCTGCAGACATCATTTTCCGGTGAGAAAGCTCGATAGCTTCCTCTCGGACGGGCGCACGCTCGGGAGCGCGCTGCCCTATTTGTTTTAAGAGTTTCCGCGTTTCGCGGCGTCGCCGTGGGCGTAACCGCCCCGCTAAATTTAGCGGTAAATTGGATTGATGTTGAGGTCACGTGACGTCAATTTTCCTGCAAATTCCAGCAGAGAAACGGAATTTGTTCATGGGTGACGTGACATGAACTCATGTGACATCATTTTCCCCGCTAAATTTTGCGGGGAAACCGAATTACTTGAGGTCACGTGACTTCAATTTCCAAATAACCTTAGCGGGGAAACTTAACCAATTAAATTTAGCGGGGAAATTGAAGTCACGTCACCTCTATTCGCGACTCCAGCAAAACGGTCGCCACCAAGCGGGAAAACCGGGAACCAGCCGGACCAGGTCGCTCCGCACCCCTCCGCGTCTCTGGTGGCTTTCGCGGAGACGTGTTGTCGGCGCGGTGGTGAACAATGTAATTTGACGAAGGTCCGAAAATTTCTTAAGTTTGCCTGAGTGTTCATAACTGTAGTGAAGCCTCAGTAGATTGTTTCCTTCCATTACGTGTTTGAAATCCCATTTACTCCACAACACACGGTCGCGTGCTTTTCATTTCTTGGATGGGGAGGAATCACGGAAAAGCGTTTTGATTACTTGTCTGTCTCGAATCCCATTCAAAGTGACGACTACTTGGTAACTGATAAATGGTTTCTTTATAAGGATATAGAATAGTGGGCTGAGGACGGCAGACGAGGTGTTCCAGTCAAGTGAATGGAAAGGTTCGATAGCTGCATGCTCTTCTTGAGTGTGGCTGTGTTCGATTCGCTTCAAGTTTGAGCCACCCACGCCGGTCGGAACGTTGGCTATTCATTTTGGCTGCTTTTCGCCGAAAATGCCTCTGGACCACACCGAAGGAGTTGGACTGATTTCGCAATTACTTGATTCAGGAAAACCTGCTAACTGCATATGATTAATGATGAAAATTATCGGCTTTCCGAGGTGGGGGACGCGTCTTGCAAAGTTAGAAGCTGTCACGGCATTATGATCTATCGCGCTGCCAATATTTATAATATACCCCCGTCGAAGCCAGCAGTAATATACGTCTACATTGCTGAGGTTGACCAGCCAAGGAATACTCATTTTTTTTGTTCAAAATTCGAAGTCAAGTTCAATGCAGAGAGGTTCTGCGTGAATCTCCGATGAAGTCTCTCTTCAGTTTGTCCGCATTCGTCTCCGTGCTACCGGCTAGAACCATTTTCTAAGTTTAAGTAGTAGCTCTCTGTCTGTCAAATATACTATTCAGCAGTTCACTTAATAGCAGGGTTGGGCAGTATCGCGATACAAATGTATCACAATAGTATTTCAGAAATACATTTCGTATCTGTATTCCTGTATCGAAAGACATCTGGAATGTTTCTTAGTATCGCCATAAAACCAGGGTGAAATGTATTTCGTTACATCTCTTAAGAAATACTCCCCCCCCCCCCTCCCCCCCCCCCCAAAAAAAATAAAACAAACACAAATCCGAACGCACTTCTTTTTTTTTTACTTCTGAGGGCACCAGAGTCAAGGAGATGTTGGGGCATTGTTACCATGCTGACCAAGGTTCCTTCCGATTCTCCAAACTATTTTTTCTATGCGTCCTCTTCTCTCTTCTGAGAGGTGTTGCGTAGTAGGGGACTCGAACCAGGTGGCGTGCCTGGAGTGGAGTCAGAGCATCTTGTGCCGCAAGTCCTTAGGCAGTGGTTTCTTGAGTCCTTGTTTGCTAGCATCCAAAGTTCGCTGCTAACCGTCTCGCTTGGCTTAGCGATACAGTCTTCCCAGCCGGCAAAGCTGAGTCACAGCCCGTTGCAGCACGAGCCTGGCGGTGGTTGACTTGAAATAGAAGGATGACTCACGCACTGAAGTTCAACACATATTCGAATGCGACTGCGGCTGCGCCCGTAATATTGCACGGCTCAAGGGTACGTCATCAGCCGAAGTGAAATGCACCCAGCTATGGCCGCAAGTAAATCCTTACTACAGGGAGTATTCACTGGACGCCATATTTGTGGATGCTGTTTAGAGCGCATGCTCAGAACGAGGTCGCATCAATAAGCTGCTAAGACCGGCACTCTTGATGGTGCGGAGTGCACGTTGCAAAAGCACTGTGGAAGCTCGCCATCAGCACGCGCTCAGCATTCGCGCCCACAGCTATGGCCGCCAGTGAATACTTCCTATAACAACAAAATTTTTGACCATAAACTAGCAGGGCATCAAAGCCATAACTGGCGAAATCAGTGAGGGCCAGCACGAAAACTATGACACATTTTAAAACATGTTTATTTGATTTCGTGGTTAATCAGATTACATTACTAATCCCACTTTATTAAAAAAAGCTTCTTATCTAGGGGGTCTGTTGTCGCCTTCAGTAGTTTTTAAATTTTTATCGGCTTCTTTTACATTTTTGTCACATCCTTCTGTCGGGTTGAGATCGTCGCCTTGCCAGTTGCAGAACATGAAGTATAAAAAAGAACAGTGCCTCAGCGGATTTTTCAGATACTTTTCTTTCACCCAAAGAAAGCACGCCCTTTCTAGGCCTGAAACATTGAAAAAGAAACGCCGTGAGAAAGATTGGCAACTGGGTTCTTTTTAATTAATGGCTCCTTACTTATTAAATTGATGCCCATTTGTGAATTCCTTGATTATTCTCCAAACCGCATCAGCGTCATTGTTACGCTGCTGTTTAGAGTTGTATACGTAAAACGACTTTTGTTTGGGCTAGTTGGTTCTTACTAGACATGATTAAAATAGCGCAAACTTGACTAGGACAACAAAGAAGGCCCACGTACAACAGGACTGGCGCTTACTTTCAACTAAGTTTATTTCATCATCAACCAAGCAATATATACCATCGCCAGCAAGCGTAAAAACCCCAAAACACAAAAAATTATACTTTAAGCTTATATGCCTACCACGCGCCGTTCTTTAGATAAAACCATCAAGAAAAAATATTTCTTTGTCCATGAGACACACCGACGGCATGCTGACGCACTTGTCTCCCTCTTTTTTGATAAAAAACGCCTCTATAACTTCCCTCTCTGTCTTGTCCTTCGCTTCCTTTAGGAACTTCGTCATATCCAAAAGTGGTTTACACCCACATCGTTTAACCAGTCGGCACCAGCTACTAGCCATAGTTCATCGTGTTGTAGGAAGCGCTGGAGAACAGGACAGGGAGAGAGTCATCGGTGACGCAGTGGACAGCCTGAGTCGCACAGTAAGTCTGAAACCTAAAGGAAAACCTCCCTTCCAGAAAGTAGTCAATTGTTTGAAGCAGAGTGGTTTGACCATTGTACAAGCGGACAAGGAAGGCGGATTCGTGGTTATGCCTGAAGGCATGTTTCAAGACAAGGCGAAATCGGCAATAGAGAAGAATTTTAAAACAAGTAACTTTCGGCCTAAGCAACAGAAGACAGCAGCACTCAAGATGCTAACGGACTTGAACCTGAATAGCCTAAAAAAGGGTATTAACAAAGCAGAAAGTGGTGTTTTGGAAGTGTTCTTTTCCGGAAAGACTCACAAACCAGAGTGCCCTCTACGGGTAATAGTATTAGAGAAGAATTTTTGGCAAGTCCAAGTGAGCCGTTATTTACAGCGTCAACTGAATACGTTGGCATGTGATGATTCTTTTTTTGTAAAAAACTCAATGGAGATTGTACAGGACATCAAGGACGGACTTATAACGGCCAGATCAGCCTTCTCAGTGGATTATTCAGTGCTACATGATGGACTCTTCAATGCTGTGAGGGACAAGATCGAGGAATCCGGACGGACCAAGTTCAAGAATTCGGCTGGCACCAACTGTGAGAACTTTCTAACCCTCCTGGAATTCTATGTTAAGTCGACAGCCGTCAGCTGTCGACTTAACATAGAAAAAAATGGTATATGTATAGGGTCTTCTGTCGCCACAGTGTTGTGCGATATTTATCTGGGCGGAATGGATAGACGTATATCTGGGTCTCTTGAAGTTGTACCTGTGCTTAAGGTTTATCGATACGTTGACGATTTTTTAATTGGTTTAGGTAATTTGACTGGGACAAATGAAGTTGATGTTGCTTCGAACATTATCGACATTTTTAATAGTCACTCGGGAGGTTTAAATTTCACTTGCGAATTTGCAAACCAGAATTGCATTCAGTTTTTAGATTTACAGCTTGATTTCTCTAGGCAACACTTGTGCTAAATGTACAACCCGCGATCCAAAAAAAAAAAAAAAAGTTTTTTGTCATTTGAAAGTGCCCACTCCAAACTTATAAAAAGAGGAATAGCTACAAATTGCTTACTGGCTGCCCTCACAAAAAGTTGCGAACACAAAATGTCAACCGCCTTCGATCAGCAGTTTAGGAAGTTAAAATCTGCAGGGTAACCTAACATGTTACTTTCAAGCGTTTGCGAGAGCCTATTACAGAAACTTAAAGGATCACAGAATAAAAAAACGTACTGTAGAACAGATCAACTAGAAAAGAGTGCGAGTTGTGCTTTATATGCACACGGTATCGCATAATTTTAAAAAGATAGCTGGTAGATATCGTATTAATCTCCTTTTTTCGGCTCCCTGCAAGCTTGGCAAGATATGTCCTATGCTTACAAGGAAAACAAGTGATCAATGCGCAAAAAAACATGCTGTCATGTACACTAGCTGCACAAGTGGGGTTGTTTATGAAATTCCTTTTAGCTGTGGCCGCGTTTACATTGGACAAACGGGTCGGTGTTTCAATGAGAGAGGGCGCCAACATAATCTGTCTGTACGAAGCAATTCGGGTGGTCATCTTGCTGAGCACGTTAAACGATGTGGGTGTAAACCGCTTTTGAATATGACGAAGTTCTTAAAGAAAGCGAATGACAAGACAGAGAGGGAAGTTATAGAGGCGTTTTTTATCAAAAAAGAGGGAGACAAGTGCGTCAGCATGCCGTCGGTGTGTCTCATTGACAAAGAAATATTTTTTCTTGATGGTTTTATCTAAAGAACGGCGCGTGGTAGGCATATAATCTTAAAGTATAATTTTTTTGTGTTTTGGGGTTTCTATGCTCGCTGGCGATGGCATATATTGCTTGGTTGATGATGAAATAAACCTAGTTGGAAGTAAGCGCCAGTCCTGTTGTACGTGTGCCTTCTTTTTCGTCCTTGTCAAGTTTGCGCTATTTTAATCATGTCTTATATACGTAGTTGCCGTATGAGTGACCATCTCTTGATAATTGCACCATTTACTGACATGTTTAAAGTATCTATTGCTAAGTACGAAAGGTGATCAATAAGTTTTGCCTCCTAGGCTGTAACTCTTTTATTCAGTGGTGGAATTGAAAAATGTTATATTCGAGTGGATGTTTGGAATATCCTCTTTCCCAGGAGCACATAATATAGTCTCAACCGGCGGTGATGCACGTCCACTACCGGTTCACTACTCTATCTATGGCGTCGTAGGTTTATTGACGGCGGCTTTTCACGACACCAACGGCGCACGGCATCAGTAACCTTGTCTTCAGACGCAAACCGTGTAATTTTCGGAAGTTCTTTTATCTTGGAAAGCAGTCAAACGTCTAATGGCGCGAAGTTAGGCTGTAAGGTGAATGAGGCAAAACATCTTGGACATGCAGCATCTCCATCCCGCCGTTGTTGTCGTGAAGAGCCGCCATCATTCCTCTATGACGGCATGCGGAGAGGAGTGCACCGGTGGCGGAAGTGCATTGGCGCCGGTGGGACTATATTGAAAAGTTATCTGCTCCTGGAAAAGAGGACATTCCAAACTTGCATTTGCTTTTAATATCTTTTAATTCCATAACTCAGTAAGAAGTTTTGCCTATGAGGCAAAACTTCTTGCTCACCCCTCATACTTACTTGCAGGTACATTTCTGCTACACATATGATTCCCATCAACAGATGCGAAACGTAATTAACGAACAGTACGTAAGAGCGCAATTAAGCGGGTGTCTACTGAACATTTTGAAGTAACCCGAGACCAACGTTACTAGAACACTCAGTTGGGAAACTCGCCGTCGAAACTTGGGCTGCTGGCGTCCACCGAGACCGAGCTAAATACGACAACAGCTCCACTCTTTATCATTTGTCTGTACTGTGGTCACCTCGATCTTTTAGAAAGCATGTTTTTGCGTAAAAACAAACGGAAAAGACTCTTTTTGTATAAAATTTATTAGAGTTTAGTACCAAAATCAAAATCTTTATTAGATATAAAATTTATTAGAGTTTCAAAACCTTTAGGTTGCAGGGTTTTGCGGAACAATTAATAATGTTTTTATACAACCTTGCCTCACCAGTGCTTTCAGGTAGCGCGTCCCGACCTAGGTGCATTTTAACTTCGGCAGTAAGTCGCGGCGCGTCCGCTGGGCAGATGGGGTGGCACCCCTGTAAACTCTTCCGCTGTATCTGTTTCAGCTCCACAGTGGCCGATTAAAGCCAAAATAGAAGTAACGTACAGTTCCTCGAGTGGCCGCTGCGGGAGAAATGGCGCCGTTGTGTTCGTCATTAGCTCGGTTCTCGAGGACAGATCGGGGCCACTTTTTCAGATTAGTCTCTATGGCAGTTTCCCAACTGAATGTCTTAGTAACGTTTCCTGAGACTGAGGAATACGGAAGATGACAACAAAAGAACGGAAGAAGAAAGCTCGAACATAAGTACACGCAAAAAAATAGATAAATAAATAAAAAATAAACAAGTAAAGAAAGATACACATTTAAATGGACAGCCTTTATAAATAAATAAACAGACATACTGTAGAAATAGTCGAATTTCCGTAGAGCTACTACGCGAGGATTTCGAATTTGTCACAACAATCTAGATATAGATCAGTTGCTAAAACAAAAAAAAAATAATAATAAAAAAGCGGAGAAGCAATATCAGTTTGCTGACTGCGTTCCACTTTAACTACTCAAACAAGATTTATGCGAAGTGGAAGAATAGTCGACATAACATAGACAAAAAAGTACTAACTTGCGCGCGTATTAAAAAAAAATGAAGTGTAACTGTTTTTAGTGTTCACTGAGAAAGCCCTCATTTCTTGTCTATTTTTGGCTCTTAGGCTTGTAACGCCGGTCTTGACCACACTGTGGTTTTATTTCATTTCTGAGGTTATGAGGAATCAAGAATGGAATTGCAAACGTAGAATTTTGGAACTCAGTTTTCCATATTTATGATGTCCCAAATGGAAAAAAAAAAGATATAGTCAAACCTCTCGAAAATTAAGAAATACTAGAGTCAATCTCTCATATAATGTGATATTTTATTTAATCCCGCCATGAGGTCGCTTGCAATCCTTAATATTTTCCAGACAGGAGTAGTGTTGTAAACGTTTCGGATGTATATGTACACGTATATACAGGATATTTGATTTAATTGGAACATATCTTTTTTTCTTCCTTTAAATAAAGTTTACAAATTAGGAGAGTTATATTTTCACCATGCATTTATTTGGCACAGCACACCATGCATTTATCCGGCACAGCACAGGGAATAATCGTCACGATAAGTTCTCTACTTAACTAAAAACTCTTACCTGACTTTTAATTTTTTTTTTTTTTGGGGGGG